GTTTAATTGAGATATGACTTTAGCAACGGAAGCTGGAGTGATTTGAATGTCTAACAAATGGGTTAACCTGTTTAATTGGTGTAGTGTAGTAAATTAAATAGTCTATAATTAATTCTAAACCAACATAAAAGGCTTTATTCTTCATATAATAATATGTAAACTAAAATATAAAAACAGGTTAGTTTTAGTATACACATAACTAAACTCAACAAGGATAATAATAATTATAAGAATCAGCACATTCTACCATTCTAAATAAACAAAATAAGTAAATAAGTTCAAACTGTTCAAATATAGTCATTTAAATATTTAGGAGGATTCCAGGATCTTCTGAACAACAAGGCACTGATTCTTCAAAAGAAATTCCATTAAGATATTTTTGGAGAGAGAGTAGAAAAGTTTTTGGATAAAGAGGCTCAGGTGAAGGGATTGTATCAAATTCATTGTAATTATTTTTGGAGTTATTATTTCCGTCATTATCACTGATTATATCAGCCGCTGGTGCAAGATGTCTTGTAGCAACAGTGGTCTTGCGTCCATCAGGCATTCTTACATGAGAATATTTACTATTAGCTTCTAAAAGCTCAATCTCTTCTACCAGAGGTTCATATTTGCTGTGTCGAACATGCCTTTTAAGCAATACAGGACCGGAATTAGTTAACCATATAGGAACAGAGTGTCCATTAGAAGAACATCGACTGAATCCAAATAATCGTTCATGAGGTGTAGCATTAGTAAAAGTGCAAAGAAAGGAACGCATTGAATGAAGGACATTGGGTAAAACATGTTCCCAGTTCATGGAAGGTAAATTCTTTGATTTGAGAGCAAGCAAAATTCCTTTCCAAATTATGCCATTGTATCTTTCACACTGACCATTGCCCTGGGGATTATAAGGAGTAGTTCTACTCAGGTTGACACCTCTAGAATTAAGAAAATTGTGGAGTTCTTTAGATATGAAGCAAGTGCCTCAATCTGAATGTATATAAGCTGGCATACCAAATAAAGTGAAAAGTTGAGTTAAACATTTAATAACGGTTGAAGTAGAGAAATCATGACAAGGAACTACAAAGGGAAATCTTGAAAACTTATCAACAACTGTTAAAAAATATTTGTTGCTAGATGAAGACGGAATAGGTCCTTTAAAATCGATGCATAGTCGCTCAAAAGGTTGAGTAGATTTTATTAAGGTGTGGTTAAAATTGCTTACTTATTGCTTAATTGCCTAAATACTATATTTAGGTTTTAATTCAGCACAAATTTGACATGAAGAAATGGTTTTTTTTACATCATCAATTGAAAAAAGTAGATTTTTCGATTTTATAAAATGATACATTCTGGTGATTCCAGGGTGGCAAAGAGATTCATGTAGTTCCTTAAGAGAGGGTCCATTTATAGTTATAGAGCAATAAGATAGAGAGAGGGCAGCAGCAACAAAATTGTTATGTCCAGGGCGATAAACTATTCATAGCTGTAGAAAGAAAGTTCTATCTTCCATCTCAGAATCTTGTCATTCTTAATTTTTCCACTCTTGCTATTGTCAAACATGAAAGAGACAGAGCGCTGATTGGTGACTTGAGTAAAATGCCGACCAACAAGGTAGTGTTTCCATTTTCAAAGTGATTGGACAATAGCATAAGCTTCCTTCTCAACAGAATAATGTTTTTTTTCAGTAGGTGAAAGTTAGCGAGAAAAGAATGCAACTGGTCTTCCAGCCTGATTAAGGGAAGCAGCTATGGCAAAATCGGAGGCATCTGTTTCCACCTCAAATGGTATACTTTCATCAATAGCTTGTAAAGCTGATTGAGAGATTAATTCTTTCCTTTCATTGAAACATTTATTAGCTTCAGTTAATAGTGGAAAGGTAGAAGTTAGAGATAAAGGATGAATTTTGTAAGACAAATTTTTGATATATTGGGAGTAGTATGAGAACATACCAAGTTATCTAGATATACAAAGGTATCTTCTAATTTGTTTTCTTGAATAAACTTATTCATGATTCTTTGAAATTGTGCAACAGCATTAGTGAGGCCAAGAGAAATTTTTTTAAATTGGAAAAGATGTCTATTGGACTCAAAGGCAGTGTAAATACTTGTCACTTTCTAGGAGAGGTATTTGGTGATAAGCACTTTTTAAATCAAATGTGCTAAATAATGAATATTTTGCAATATCGTCTAGAAGGTGAAGCAATCGGTCTACATTCTGGATTTTTAAAGAATCTTTTTTACCATATTTTACCTTTTTTACCACCATAATTGATATAAAGACTTTTGTGCAACTGTAGGAAATCTCTACCAAATATGATTTGTTCACAAGAGTTGGGTATAACCAAAAAGTTAATATTAGAGTACTTCATACCAAATAAAGTGAAGTTAGTTGAAACTTTACCTATAACTTGACAAGATAAGGAAGGATCAGCAATAGAGACTCTTTTATTAGAAGGGAGTATATTAAGTTTTAAAGAGTTACATATTGATTTGCTTATGTGTCAGACCTTCCAGTGTCAAGAAGAGCTCTTACCTTGGCCTTAGCAATAAAGATAGAAACAATAGAGTAGAGTGAGTTGATAGAAGAGCAAGTAATCGAGGCTAAACTTGGTGCATGGAAGTTAGCAGCAGCAGACGTGACAAGGTTCTTTGATGATTTGCATACTTTCTTGAAATACCCTTTCTTACCACAATTGTTACATTCTGCATCTCTGGTAGGACATGATTGTTGAGGGTGACATTTACTTCCACAGATATAACAAAGTCCACTAGGCTTAGTAGAAACTGAAGCAAACTCAGTAATAAATTCAGAATGTTTATTAATTGTAGCAACATTATTATACTCTGTATGTAAATACATTTCATTATTTCTTTGAGCGTTTTCCAATGAATGAGCTTGATTATAGGCCTCAGTAAGTTTAAGAGTAGAGTTTTCTAGTAGTCGTTAGCGAATATGATGAGAGCTTAAACCACTTATAAATGAATCACGAATGTATTCTTCACAATGTTCTGAAGCAGAAACCTGTTTAAAGTTGCAATCATTACTGAGTGTGCGTAAAGCCTGCAAAAACTCATCAATAGATTCTCTGGATGATTGCTTACATGAAGCTAACTGATGTCTGGAAAATAATTCATTTAGGTTTTACAAATAAGTTTTTCAGGATTTCTATAGCGCCATCAAATGATTTAATGTCAGCAATATAGTCGAACACGGAAGGAGATAAATAGTTAATGAGGACATCTAATTTATCTTCTGTTTGTATAGTTTTCATGAAGTTTGTAAAAGTTCTAAACCAGTGTGACCATTCTTTAGAAGCTGATACAGAATTAGGATTGCTGTCAAATCGCTCCGGTCTTAGATATTTATCCATTAAAATATGAAGAATAAATTGTAGTTTAGTAAATTAAATAGTCTATAACTAATTCTAAGCCAACATAAAAGGCTTTTATATAATAAAAGGCTCTTCATATAATAATATGTAAATTAAAATATACAAACAGGTTAGTTTTTAGTATACACATAACTAAACTCAACAAGGATAATAATAATTATAAGAATCAGTACAATTGGAATGGGAGGAAGAGAATGGTCATAAGATTCAAGAGTCAATTTAGAAGAAAAGTTCTTAGCAATTAGTTGTACCTTATCTTTGGGAGAGTTAATAAGATCAGCTCCATAAATGAGAGGTGGAATGACAACGCTGTTGAAGATTTTCCAAAAGTCTCTAGAGCCTAACTTCTGAGATAAGATAAGAGACTTATTGAACTTAGAATGGGGCTAAGCATCTGATAACAACTTTTTACATCGATTTCTTGTAATAATAAATAGTTGTTTGTTCTCAAGAGAAAAAATTATACTTCACCTTTTTGTGGAGCTGCTATATCTAATTGATTACAATATATATATATATATATATATATATATATATATATATATATATATATATATATATATATATATATATATATATATATATATATATATATATATATATATATATATATATATATATATATATATATATATATATATATATATATATATATATATATATATATATATAGATAGATAGATAGATATTTATATACATATATATATATATATATATATATATATATATATATATATATATATATATATATATATATATATATATATATATATATATATATATATATATATATATATATATATATATATATATATATATGAAGACCTCAGTAGAAAAACCGGCGTAGTCACATTTTTCTGATTTTGAGAAAATCAATTTTTAAAGTTTAAAACGCTTTTTAAAGTTTCTATTATACTCAAAAAAATGTGATTTTAGGATTTTTATATTGATTAACTATATTTATATCAAATTATTTAATTAAAAAAAAAAAAAAAAAATTAATATATTTTTTTAAGAAATTGGAAACATTTCCCTGGCGTAATTACTATTTTTAACTACCCTCTTAACGTAAATAAAAACAATTTCGGACCCAAAATGTTCATAAACCTCTTGCTTGTCTAAAAAAAAAGCCTCCCAAAAACTTAAGGGGCTTTAAATGAAGATAGACCACATTGCTAGCTTTTCTTATTTATCCTACTAAAACTAATTAGGAAGTTGAAAATCGGATGTGTAGTAAGTTTTTTCAATAAAAACAAGCAATACAAAACTATTGAGAAACAACCATTAAAAGAAAATTATTTAATCTGTATCTGAAATTTCTGATTCGGAATCTGGTGTTCCTGTGTTAGTAGTGACTAGATTATCAAAAAAACTATGATTATCAGGTTTGCAAAGGCGCTTAAGAACCTGTAGGTCATTATATTTGGCAGCATTTATTGGCAAAACTGTTGGATAGAGATTATACTGACTTAGAGCAGTGTCTTTTTAATTCTTTCGTCGACGTTTTACCAACACAGTATTTTCGATATTGCCATTCCAGTTGTTACGATAGAGAAGCAATGAAGGATGAATATCTTGAAAAACAAGTTCTTTGACTGGTCGAGTTTTTATCGGACATGTGCACTTATAATATTGTTTTAAGAAGTCCGAAAATCTCAAAAAATGTATAATAAAAAATGTATTTAAAAAGTTCACAACATTAAAAGGTGAAGGTTTTTTTCGACAATTCTTGAAAACCTGACGCCAATCCTCTGGGATTTCAACATCAGCCTTTATATTAACATTTACCATGTCACGATCACATTCCATATAAGAATGACCTCTTATGGGAAATGAAACTTTAATACACCTAAATCTTTTTTGATAGTGGACCATCCAATGCAAGAAACGAAACACAGTGTAGTTTTTATTCTGTCCTGCACATCCATCACAAAAGAAATGTAATTCAGAAACGTTGTCAGAAAGATGATTAATAATAAAATGATAAAGCATAGAGCAAACATCATCAGCTCCTTTTTTTCCTACTGTTTCATCACTTGATAGGATGTGAATATTAAATGAAAAAAATTTAAGCTGCCTTCAGTAATACACATCATTAGTGGATTTATTAGGCAATGACAAATTCTTCTGAAAATCAAAAGCAATAGCTTCAAATGTGTCTGAGATTTTTGCTCTATTTTTTGCATCTGATTTTCTGCTATAAAATAAAGCTGCCTTTCTTGTGTGAAGCTCATGCTCTGTTTCAAGATCTTTCTTTATTTTTTTAAGTTTGATAATGTCTTCATCGACGGCATTTAAAAGCTCTTGGTCATTGTGTTTTATATTTACAAAGAACTCATCACAAGCCAAGCAAGTGTCTTTTTGTGGAAAACCAAACCCAATGTTAAAATTATTGTTAAATATTACTCTATATGTTTCATATCCTACTTTAACTGTTGGGTAAGCAAGTTTTAAAAGTTCAAACATTTTGGAGACATTCAGATTTTCAGATAAATAAATTTTTTTAGTTTTTCCAAGAGCATAATGAGACGACCTTCCTCTAAAAGAAGATAAATGTTTTCGGATAGCTTCTCTGTCACTTTCTGATAACTTGTGCGGTCGATTTTTATGCTTTCCTCTACCGTCAATTGGAGGGTGACCTAAGGGAACAAAATTACAATCATTATTATATGAATCATAGTAATAAATATAATCATTAATAAGTAATTAAAAAAAATTATAAATTATATTTCTAAAAAGATCTACTAACCAGTTGTAGCAATTGATTTCCGTATTGATTCAATTCTAGATTTTGTTATTCCAAACAAAGACATCATAGCTTTAATGCAAACCGGTACTTCAACAGCTGCTTGTGCTCTTTGCACCCTAACGCTATAAGAATATGAAAAATTATGTAAATATTCTTTATCTTTTTCCTGTCGTGATCTTCGTCTTTTGATATTGTGAATTTTTATTAATGTGGCTAAGTATGCGTCCTGACTATCTTTAGATAAATATTCGTTAAAGTTTTTAATTAATTTGTTTCTTTCTTCAACAGTAACAACCTCAAAACATGCCAGTCTTTTGCATTTGCAGTCTGTTCCACTAATGTGACTTGATAAAATGTGCATTTTTTTTCTATTTTTTAAATTAACATTAATCTTCCTTTTTCTTGATTTTTCTGTTACAACAGGACAATCGTTGCTCGCCTTTATGCTTATTATGTTTTCTTTTCTTTTCCCGCATAATTCAACCAATTATTACGGATTCTAGTAACCACGTGATTTTTACAACATTCAAAACTACGGACATAGCTGTTTGTTCCAAACTTAATGCTGGAAATCGCTGATTATTCCATTGGGATCTGTTTCATTTTATCCTCTTTAAAGAGGACTGGGATGTTTTTTTCATTAGTTTTTTAAAAAAAAAAAATGAAATAAATCATACTTAATCGAAAAATAGTAATAACTCAAATTTTTTTAAAATGTGACATCGCTGGTTTTTTCACTGAGGTCTTCATATATATATATATATATATATATATATATATATATATATATATATATATATATATATATATATATATATATATATATATATATATATATATATATATATATATATATATATATATATATATATATATATATATATATATATATATATATATATATATATATATATATATATATATATATATATATATATGCTATTACTTAATGATAGTAATATTATTTGTCAGATTTCGATAAAGTAAAAGTCTACCAACTAATATCAGATGACTTACTGCTGATATACCTGTACCATGAAAGTCAGGATGTACTTTGTTTAATAATTCAAGCTCATTGGGTTATGACCAATGCTCTTGTAATAAAACAAAATTGCAAATACTAGAAAAAAACTTGAATTGCAAACAGGGCCAGGTTTTGTCACTCACCAAAGAGGGGGCTTTAAAAAAAAAAGTTTCAGGGGGCACAGGGGGGGGCTACTACAGCCTTGCCCCCCTCCCCCCCTTCCGCCTCCCTAAATCCACTATTGATTACAAAAACACTATTTTAAAGAACAGCAGTTGAAGGAGCATTGTGGAGCTAATGTAGTAGAAAATTTTCCATTACATCATAAGCTCCAACATAAGTTTCAACAGAAATATAATAAAAGTTAGTAACAGTTGCATGCCAAATTTTCGATCAATTATTAATTTACACAACCAACAAATTTTGTGCAACTAACTCACCACTTATTAAAAAATCTTCAACTGCATTAGGAAAACCACATGCCAGTTAAATAACCAAGTCTATTAAATGATGTTGTATATAAAGCCACTCTAGCATCACCTAATCCAAGTCTTACGGAAAAATCTTACATCAGTATTAGTGAAAACACATTCAAGCTTAGGTTTGCAAACCACCTTGAACCCTTAAATGCAATCAGGTATAGAAATAACACAGAACTTTCCAAAGAAATCTTGAAACATAAAGATGCAGGCAACATGCCTATAATCAAGTGAAACCAATTCATGAAGATGCCAACTATATTTCAACCAATATGCAGGTTTGAGATTGATAAAACTAAATTGTGTATGTAAAAGTTAAATAAAAGTGGTGACAATATACTTCCTTAACGAACACTATTAACAACTCCAAAACAATTTGATTTCGTTTCCTGCCACCTAACAGACATTTGTTGATTACTATACCAAAATGCAAGCAAACAAACAAGCAAGTCATTATCTAGTAATTTCTTAAACAACAGCCAGTAATTAACACTGTCAAATGCTTTATCAAAATCTATAAAACAAGCAAGTACATGTAGATGTAAAAGACAGATGGTAAATAAATGTACTTAATGCATAAATTTAAAAAAAATACTAATTAAAAGCTGCAAACATTTCCATTCCCTTTATGAAGTTGAGGTTATATTTTTCATTGTTAGTTGGGTTAAACAATTTAAAAATTACTCCTTCAATATATTAGAAATATTACTATTACCCATAGTGTCTCTAACACTAGCAACAAAATTTACTGCATTATTGTTACTGATCTTATACACATTGTTCCAAAACTTTCTCGAATTTCCACTGTTCAAATTTTTTGCACATAAATCAGTTTAAATTTGTTTATTATGATGTTTACAGTATCTAAAAGCTAATTTAAAAGTAGCATGAGATCATGTTTTCAAAAAATGTCAACCTGTTTCTTCTTGCCTTGAAAAACTCACTGCTTAAATGTATTTCTTGCAAAGTCGTGTTTATCTTTAGTTGTTTCAACCTGGACTAATATGTTCATGACTTTTATGTTTAAAATTTAAAGACTACATAGTATTTATGATGTTGTTGTAAATTCATTATCCTAAGCTGTATTGCAGCCATTGGGTATATTTTCAGTAGGTAGATAGAATTGTATATATACAGATTTCAATAAAAATGGTTTATGGTCTTATGCAATTACATTATTTAAAATTGATATAGATATAATTAGATTATCAATAATTGGACTGCATTAAATGTGACCAGAAAGAATTAGATCTATCATCATTGACATATGTACAGGCATTATCAAGGCAATTAATATCAGATTTAATCAGTTTATTTTTTAAAGCAAGAAAACTCTTCATAAAATTTTGACCCATTATAACAGTTAAAATTGGCAGCAATAACTATGTTCTGTGTACATCAGTTTCCACTATAAGTGATTTTATTTTTAAACATATATCCATACAATTATGAAGGCAATGTTCATTATAATTTTTTGTCATGTATACATTTTCTAGCAAAATCAGCCTAATACTTGCAGATAATTTTAAAGAAGTGATTCAAGATTTAATGATAGTAATATTATTTGTCAGATTATTTCGATAAGGAATTTTCAAAGGAAAAGCCTCCCAATTAATATCAGATGATATTAATTGGTAGGCTTATATGATAATATGATAATATGGTAATGACCAATGCTCTTGTAATAAAACAAGAGCATTGGTCATTACCATATTATAATAATAAAATTATTATAATATGGTAATGAAATGTAATAAAATTGCACATACTAGAAAAAACATTAATCGCAAACAGGGGCAGGTTTTGTCACTCACCAAGGAGGGGGCTAAAAAAAAAAGTTCCAGGGGGCATAGGTGTTGCCCCCCCCCCCAAAAAAAAAAAAAAAACCCACCACTGATTACAAAAACACTATTTTAAAGAACAGCAGTTGAATGAACAAATAGATTAACTGTTGCTATCAGCCATTTTTGGGTTCAAAATATCTACATACAAATAGACACTTAAGCCGAGCTTCAGTAGAGATTAAACAAGCAATTCTGTTTTTTAACTGAGAGTAATCCACAGATACAGAAATATAAAATGAGGAATAACGACTAAACTTGGAATTTAATTTTTCACACTTTACAGAGCCATCATTTTCAATTTTTAAAATATCATAAGCGCAATTATCTGTTGTAGAAGGATCTTATTGAGATAAAAATATCAATATATTGTTTAGATAGTTTATCTGAAGAGATTAGTTTGAGTCTATTATTAGAGTCAGATGTACCTAAAATGTGTTTTTTTGAATTGAGGACTTATTGGCTACAGGTAGATTATGTGCGCTCCCTTTAACAATGTTCTTATAACAACAACCATTGGCATTAATGGTCACCCTGTAAATTTAACAAGTTTATTGCTAGTAGAAGGGGTTTCAGTATTATAAATGATATCAGGGCTAATAGAATTGTTGGCTAATGATCATGTTGGATTTTAGTGCTAAAAGATTCTTTATAGCTCATTGTACTTTTGTCTCATTTATTTTATAAAAAAGATATAAATAAAGATTGTTATAAATTGTTTGACTTGTTGTTGTAAACTTTTTTACTTCAGATTGAAGATAGGTAACCTCCTCCTCCTGAACCTGAAGCTAAACACTGATATCAATGTGATTTATACCAACAGGAGGTAGGGGAGATAAATTGATAGCATAAAAATTTGGTAATTTACTTGTTGGGTCTAGAAGCACATTTAGCATATTCTCTACAGATTTTTTTGGATTTATCATTCCCACTTCATTTCATGATATCCCTTTCATGATATCCCTTATCATTTCCACTTTCATGATATCCCTTATCATTCCCACTTCATTTCATGATATCCATTTCATGACACCCCTTATTAGGATATAGTTTAGTATTTATGGCTTTAGCGTCAAATATTTCCTCTTCCTTGTAAAAATCACATATGACTTGAACATTGTCATCAAAACTTAAAACATCTTATTTATTTTTTGAGAAACACAATTACTCACTTCGCACATCAACCATTACATTGTTATCAGTATCATCAGCAGTATCCATAGTTGTACAAATTTTGGTGGGAGGGTTACCACACTAAATAACAGTGGATTACCTCCCTCTTCTTCTTATTAAATTTTTAATTTCTTTATTAACACAAAAACTATAAAAAGTTTTGATGTGTTTTTTCTGTACATATATCTGTATATATATATATATATATATATATATATATATATATATATATATATATATATATATATATATATATATATATATATATATATATATATATATATATATATATATATATCAGGGTGGTAACCAGGAATAAATTTAATACAGCGTTTTAACAAAATTGGGAATTAGTCAAAATATTTCCTGATCATCCTCCCCCTCCCCAGAGATTAAAATGTGTTACGGTGTTGTATGGGATCCTTTTCTTCTAATCTTTTTTCTTTTACTCCACTTGAACGCTGCATACATTGATTGGACAACAAAAATAAAATAAAATACCATCTGTAACATTTATTAAAGATGAATATGAAATCCACAAAAAATTCAAAGTAGTTTCACAACGATAAGGTAAATTAAACTTCCAAAGATATATTAATAATTATATATTCTTCTATTATAAAATAATCAGTTTATATTAATTAATTATTATTAAGAATAATATATTTGATTTATTTCTAATCATTTCATTTTAAGATTATTTTAAATATATATATTTCTTTTTTATTGGTGGGCATTAAAGGATGATTTTTATGGTAATATAGAGAATTTTGTTCAATGAACATCTCTGCGAAAAAGAGCCAATGATATTCTACTTCTTATTATTTAAATTCTGCTTGAAGTCCTTTTTGGACAAACCCTTACGCTATCATGTAATAAATTGTGTCATCAAGAGAAATATTTTAAAAATAGAAAATAAAAAAGGTTTTGAAAATATTAATCACTAACTAATAAATTTCATATTTCACATTTGTTGCAAGTTCAATTTTATAATTAATAATAATTTACTCTATAAATAAAACACAAACTACACAAAAATAAAAAAATTACAAAAATAAAACAAAGTCTGAGTAAAAACTACAACAAATGTTGTTTAAAAATTAAAGAATATTTAAATTTTATTAATTTTAAATTATTAAAGAATATTGGTTGCAAGCGATTACACACTATCGCTTCAACGAAAAATACCAATAATTATTTTTTTAATGATAGTCATAAAATGTTATTATGACTATTGTTTATTCAAACATTTAAACTTGCTTATTAAATTTTAAACTTATAAATTCAAGCTTCTTTTCTTGTTTTTTAAATTTCTAGTACCAATTTATTGTAATAAAAAAAACATTTTTGTTATTAAAAGTATTTAATTTACGTTTTAATATATGTATTTAATTTACATTTTAAAGTCAAATAAGTCAAACAAATAAGTAATTTAATTTTTGCAGTAAGGCTTAATAAGTTATTTAATTTTTCAGCCATAAAAGAGCAAAACTTGTAGAGAAAAAGCATTTGTAGGTGTTAAACCAAAAAAAATTTGTTACTTTTTTAGATTGTACTATAATTCTTGCTAACTATTTTATATAATATTTGCTGCTGTTGGAACTCATTGCTAAGAATTTGAGAAATTAATTTTATAAGCAAGTTGCCGAGAAAATCCCTAAAATCGCTTGGAAAATCCCAATTCTCAAGAAATTTCTTTCAAGAAACATTTTCATAGTTAGGCAATCATGTAATTAAACCAATAACAGCAATTTTATTTCAAGTTTTACACAATAATTAAATTAGAATTTCTCATGTTATTTTTCTATTTGTTTTTAATAATAATTAATTTTAAATAATTATTAGAATTATTAATAAACTTTAATTTGGCGAACGTTATTTGGAGAATGGGAAGTTCTAACATTAAATTGAGAATTTTAATTTTATGAGCATTTGCGAATACTGCATTTGACGGGTCCCCACAGGGCTAGTTTACACCCTGTATATATATATATAAATATAAATATATATATAAATATAAATATAAATATATATATAAATATAAATATATATATATATATATATATATATATATATATATATATATATATATATATATATACATATATATACATATATATATATATATATATATATATATATATATATATATAAATATATATATATATATATATATATATATATATATATATATATATATATATATATATATATATATATATATATATATATAAACAAAAGTCAAAATAAGTGTTGAACATTAACGCCCCACTGTCCAACACTTATTTTGAGAATAGGACTGTTTTTGAAAACCTGAATTATGGGGGCAACAACCATCGTTCATTTTTAATGAAATGAACAATGGTTTGTTCCCTTCCTCCATCAGGTCTCAAAAATGGTTTGAGGGGCAACAATGTCTGACACTTATTTTGGCCTCTGTATGTTGGAAACAGGGAGCCTGTTTTGGCCTCTATATGTTGAGAACAGGGAGCATTAACCATTTAAACTTTAGTAAAGTATTAAAGTATAAATAAATGTAGCAGTCTGCCTTTAGTTACCAATTTTAAATTTAACGAACCCAGTATCAAAATACCATAATTAAGAACTTTGATGTTATTAAGTTTATATTTTTACATAGTTGACATGGTTTTTATGATTATTCATCTTTTTTTTTTTTTGATTGCGTTGTTTTATTTATTGTTTTTTAAAATTAATATATATATATATATATATATATATATATATATATATATATATATATATATATATATATATATATATATATATATATATATATATATATACATATATATATATATATATATACATATATATATATATATATATATATATATATATATATATATATATATATATATATATATATATATATATATATATATATATATATATATATATATATATATATATATATATATAAAGACCCTTGCAACAATGTCAAAAAGTTTTTCCATTTTGTTGACATTTAAAAATTTAAATGCAAGACCAAAAAATTTTTTATTTTTATTATTTGATAGCAGCACTCCATTGCGAGTCAGGTTATTATGACAACACAGAAACGTTGAATGAAAGTCAAAAGTAATCAAAAGTGATGTATTTTGTTGTCAAAAGAATCATATTTTACCTTTCGTACTCTCAAACCCAACAATTTATAGAACTTTTATATTTATAGAACAATTTATATATATATATATATATATATATATATATATATATATATATATATATATATATATATATATATATATATATAAATATATATATATATATATATATAAATATATATATATATATATATAAATATATATATATATAAATATATATATATATATATATATATATATATATATATATATAAATATATATATATATATATATATATATATAAATATATATATATATATATATATATATATATATATATATATATATATATATAATAAATATATATATATATGTAAATATATATATATATAAATATATATAAATATAAATATATATATACATGTATATATATATATATATATATATATATATATATATATATATATATATATATATATATATATATATATATATATAAATTTTTACATTGTTCTTTTAAAATATTTTTTTGACAACATTTAAAACGTTTTTTATTTTTTTTATTTTACAGCTAAAGACAATTTGTGCAAAACAGACAGAATTTTTAGTTGGCATAAAGCTGAGTAAAAATATGTTTTGAACATATTTTTACACAGTAAGCTGTTTTTAAAAAAATTTACACGCAAGACAAAACATTAAAATATACATATGCATATGTATGTACATTTATAATATGTAAATATGCATATGACAATATTTGAAAACATTATTTTCTCAAAGTTGTTACAACCTGCTGCCACACTTTAACTCTAAAATAAAGACCTTGATAAACAAGATTTCTGAGCAGAGAAACAAGTTAATCAAAAAAAGAATCAATAATTTAAATTATTAGTGAGCAACAGTTTTGAGTTTTAACTCATAACTAAAGTTTATGCAGTTTTTATTTCACATACTTTGCAATATATTTAGAATGTTATTATTTAATATTACAAAAAAAGTAATTTTATAACTCAAATGATACCTTTTGATAAATTTCTGAAGCAAGCTGAGCAATAATTTTTGCTTTCTGGATGTCCATAAGAGTCACAATTTTTAGTTAAGCACTTGAATAAAGGGTTTTCCTAATTAAAAAAAAAATTGTTTTCAAGACTAGAAAAATCTTTGAGAATAATATTTTAGTATTTTAAGTATTTGATTTATAAATATAAATATTATATTAAAAATATTTTGCATACCAAACTTCTATCTTTATAAGAATTCATTATTTCAACACACTGTTAGCATATTTGGGCAAAATTTGAAAATACTGTGTGTGAGTTAAACGGTGTTAGTATGTTATTCACATTGAAGAAGTATGAACTTATTAATGAACAATTGATAAATTCATATAACTGACTCAACAATTAACGTTGTTTAGAATAAGCTTTAGAATAAGTTAAAAATTAAATTTTTTTTTTGAAAGATTTAATATTTAATTATTTAAAAAAATCAAATTTGAGAGTCAGGAAATTTTAGCAAGTAATATATGCATCTCATGTGTGAGACACCTAAGTTTGTCTGTGTGTTACGTTGACATTGTGTCCGTGTTGTGACATTGAATTTGTGTCCGCCGTCATAGAAAATTTTGGAAAATATGCTGCTCATGTGTAAAAAAAAGCGATAAAGAGAAGCAACCTTAGGTGATGCTAATTTAGCAATCGATTTTATATATGGTTTCCATAAAATGTCAGTAAAAAAAACGATAATCCAAGAAGACGTAAAGAGGAGGACTCAGTGAGAGACGTAAAGAAAAAGACTTAGTGAAACTCAGTGAGAGATTAACTATTATTGATGGCGAAAAATTAGGTCTAAAAAAATTGAGTAAAATGTCATTAATATCTAAAATAAATTTTGAATTGCCGCTCAAGCCATTCTGGCTGACATTCATTCATTCAAGCTGACAAGTGTTTGGTGGAGGGAGGGAGAAAGAGTGCCGCCGGGTGTCAGGTTGCCCTGCCAAATTAAGAAAAGGCAACTTTTGTAGTCCACTTTATTGTCATACGCTCTGACAGGTACACATAGAGCTGTGCATCTCCCAATTCTACACCTCCCATGGTGCGATTGTAAAGTTCAACAACATTAGGGGTGGAATGCAAGAAGCGAACTTGAGTCAAGCTCGACTTGAACTTTACATTGCAACCAATAGCGACAGAGTATGGGTTTTCCCCTCAAAGAATACTCTGCCGCTATTGGTTACAAAGTAAAGTTCAAGTCGAACTTGACTCAAGTTTGCATATTACATTTTACCCTAGGCTTCATTAGTAATGAAGCCTAATTTAACATACAAAGCGATTTTAATATACGCGCAAAAGCCTCTCTTTTAAAGTCAGCCAATCATATTGCGCATATCTCTGTCTATTTAGCTTAGTCTGTAATTTTGTAATTAACAAAATTTCTCGAGTGCCGAATACAACGGGAGGTGAGAATAAACGGGTGGGTGGGAATTTTAATCAAAATCTAATAAACGAGGGGGGGGGGGGTTAATATACGGAAGGGGGGTAAATTTTTTTCTGATATTTAATAAACGTGGGGGGGGGGGAGGAGGAACCCCCATTCCCCTCTCCCTCCCCCCCCCCCCCCCCGTTTATTCTTCATGCAAGCTATGCATGTTCAAGTCAAATGCGCATCTGACTTGCGGCATTTTATAACAGCTGTTAGGGTAGGGTTAGGCAGTTTTATCATAATTTCAATAGGATTTAATATGCTAATATAAGTTTTATACTTTGCAAAGTATACAGTATAAACTTGTATACAGCATATTAAATCCTATAATTAAAACCAGAGAAATAAACTAAAAGTTCATTTTTAGCAAATCGAGATTTAATAGGTCGACAATTTGTAAAACCTGTTTACACTGAAAGTTTTTGTTTTTATCGGTGACTGAAAATTATTTTCAAATTTTTAAGGCCGATTTTCACTTAATTTTTTTTTTTTACTTTTGAGATATATAATTTTTTTGTTGATAACAAGTAAAAATTAATAATCGGGGGGTCTTAATAAGCTTAGGGTGGGTGGGAAATATATCCAAAAATTAATAAACGGTGGGGGGGGGGGGACATTTATTAGGAACTCGAGAGTAAGCTAAATAGACAGAAATATATATATATGTATATATATATTTTTAATTCACCTCCTCAAGGCCGAGAAAGCCACTACAGACGACTTATTTGTGGCTGTAACCCTCTCTCAACTCTATAACTCCGAAACACTCCGAAATATGCTTTATATGATTGGCTGACTTTAAAAGAGAGGCTTTTGCGCGTATGTTAAATTCGAAACAAAATAGTACTGTAGAAAGTAGAAAAAAGAAAAAAAATTTATAGAAACATATTATATATCATTGGAAAGATAACTTTATCTGCTTTTTAGTTGTGTATCTTTCACGTTTTTTAAATTGAGCAAAAAAAAAATGCCAGATCAAAATTTTAATTAGAGGATTTTTGCTAGCCTATAAAATTTTTTTTTAAACAGGAATTGCAGCGCCGGTATTTATATGGAATATTTTTTTTAAAATACATTAATTATTTATATTACATTATACACTTAATTTTAAAAATTAATTAAAAAAAAAAAATTACAAAGCTCGTTGTTTTATTTTGTTTACAAATATTCGCTAATTTAAAATCTACGAGTTTAAGATTTTAACTAATTACTTTGGGGCAGCAGTTATATAAAAGCTCAAACCTTTTCTTTAGGTAATTTATTCAAACGACTATAAAGAGATTATAAAAGTAAATTACTATGAGAGAAAACTAATGTGAAAACTTTGATTTTAACGTTTTTACTGTTTACGGAAAGATAAAATATGAGGTTTTTAGCCATTTATTGAATATTTTGATGCTGTAAACATGGTAGCTTTTTATTTTTTAAAAAAAAGAGGTACTTTTGGAATGTAAAAAATTAACACATTTGTTTCACCTGTTTTCATGACGCTGCCCCGTCGTGTTTTATGTATTTTAATCAGGTATCTTAATCAGGAAACATGTTGAATCTCTTTTAAATATATGGAATTGTCTAACAATAAATAGTAACAATAAATTGTCTAACAATAAATAGTAACAATAAAAAGTTTTTAATATTGATATAAGCTGATATTAAATTTTCTTTATTTTGTGGCATTCTTGTAAATATAATTTAGATGTAAATGTTTTCTAGATATATCATTGGCCCTAATAAAGTTTCCTTTTATTATTATTATTATTATTATTATTATTGCTATTATTATTATTATTATTATTATTATTATAATATTTTTAATACAATAAGAGGTGGATTCTATGTCATCATGCACTGACTCTTCCTTTAAATACTTTATTTAAATTTTGTCCTGGGCTATGTGCTGACTTTTAACTATTTTAATTAAATGTATTTTCTTGTTACTAATTCTTTTTCCTTTCTTTGTACCTTGTACAGTAAATAAGTGTTAATTTTATTAATATTGCTAAAGTCTTTTGTTAAGTAATTTAGCTCCTGTTACACTTAATCGCTTTAATCCAAAGCTCTTTATTGAGTTTCTAATATTTATTAAATAGTCTTTAATTTGTATGAACATAGTTTTCATTGTTGGATGACAATTTGCAATTATCTGTAATTTTCAGTATGTGTTTCTCTTCTGCTAATTAGAGATTCTAAACTTGATTAAAAAAGTGATTTAAATAATGATTAAGCATGAGTATCTCTTAGCACATATCATTCTTGCTGCTTTGTTTTCTATAACATCTATTTTTATAAGGTAAGTTTTTGCAGTTGATAAGTAGAGAGACCTTCAGTATTCTAATTTACTTCTGATAAGTGCAGTATATGACATTGTTAGTTGTTCTTTTGGATGTAATAAGGATGTTTTTGCTAAAAAACTTCTTCTTCCTTTGCTAAAAAACTTCTTCTTCCTGTCATCAGTACTATCTAATATCAGTCATGCCTATAGTAATTTTCTCATATAGTTGGAGGTGTCTTAATTACTGTATTAGCTCACCTGTAATCTACGTTATATGTATGTTTGTGTTCTGTCTAAACCTCTGGCGCGGTGTTCACTCACCCGTAAGTTACTTTATGTTCTTTATGTATGTCTGTGTTCTGTCTGAACCTCTGGTGCGGTGTTCGCTCACCCGTAAGTTACTTTATGTTTATGTTTATGTTTTTTATGTTTTTTTATGTATGTTTGTGTACTGTCTGAACCTCTGGCGCGGTGTTCGCTCACCCGTAAGTTACTTTATGTTTTTTATGTATGTTTGTGTTCTGTCTGAACCTCTGGCGCGGTGTTGACTCACCCGTAAGTTGCTTTATGTTTATGTTTATGTTTGTTTGTGTTCTGTTTATACTCTAATGCAGCGTGAGCTCAGTAACTAACTACTTACTCCAACTACAAAACCTACATTCACCTTAGACTCCTGTATTTTGTTAGCTGCAGTGTTTTCCTAATGCACTTCCAAAATATCATGCCTGGTTTTCTCAAAGTACTGTTGCAGGAAGTAACTCCTTTTAACTACTCCAGGTCAGGTCAGGATAATCAAGACCAATCTTGCTACTGGTATCACGTAACCCAGTACCAACTGCCACAAACCCTGCTGCCTTGCAGAGTGTGCTCTTCTTAGGCTAAGGCTAGGAGAAATAAACTCCGACTAAAAATTCCCCTGCCTTGGGGCTCTTGGTTGAGTAAAGGCTAGAGATGGTGCAGAAAATTGCATTAAACTGAGTTTTAGAGCTGTTTAGGAACAGCTCTAAAACTCAGTTTAATGGTTTGAGGCCGGCTGGTAGTAAGGTTTCCCGAACTCTGTGGTAGCTCTCAGAGAGGCTGATTCCATCAACAGCTGCAAAATATCAGAGTATTAACAGTGCCATGTTGCGCATGGATGGTGTCCTTGTTAATGCTTTTGGTGTGCATTGTCAAGGCCACATAAAGAGCCCTATGTCATGGCTTAGGGTTAATTAACAGGACTAAGACAACTGCATAGCTCATTGATTAGGAGGCTGTGCTCTATCTATGAATGAGTCAAGTTCTCATTAAACCCAAATCATGACCAAAATAACCAAGAATTTAAAACCAAAAAAACCATCCCCACCACCTAAATATTTTAATATATCTTTTACAAATATTCGCGGTCTACGAAGCAACTTTCCATCAGTTGAGTCTTACCTCCTGCAAAATTCACCAGACTTGCTTGCACTCAGTGAAACAAATTTAAATTCTGCAGTTCCTTCTTCAGATGTCAGTGTTGATGGGTACTATCCTTTGATTCGTAAAGACTCCAATAGTCACCTGCTAGGTTTAGGGGTATACATACGCATTAATTCCCCTATTTGGTGTAAAATCAGGTTCGAATCCTTTGACCATTCTTTTATGTGCTTTCGCCTAGCACCTCTTCACTCTATCACCTTTCTCTTTGTTCTTTATCGTTCTTCTTCTTCCCATGATTGCACTCTCTTAGATGTTATCTCTGATCAAATTGACCATGCCCTCTCTCTTTATCCCTCTGCCAATATTGTTGTTGTTGGTGATTTTAATGCCCATCACACTGAATGGCTTGGCTCTAAAACCACTGATCCTGCTGGTACTAAAGCCTTTAACTTCTGCGTTTCTCAATCTCTTACTCAGATAGTTAACTTTGTGACTCGTTTTCCTGACAACCCTAATCA